CACTAATATAACAGGAGACCATAAAAGTGGAGTGGGAGAACGCAGCCAGAGGGGTTTAGCCGCGACCAAGTCAACACTCTGTTTCGTCATTACATGCATGTGCCTTTTACTGTTGTGTAGCTCCACGCTCCATTGCAGGGCTGTCCATTACTGCAGCGGATCCACAGCCTAGCTCACTCCTTGGGTCTGCACGCCTGGTGGGGAGCACTGCTCACTGCCATACGAATCCCAGTTTCAGAGAAGGGATAGAGAACCTTTTCCTCCATGCACTGTTTAATTTAACACCAGAGAACTAAAGAAAAGACTCGTATCTTCCCTCGGGTCCACCTCAGCTCTCTTTTGCTTTGACTGTACCCTGAAAGATCAGCAAGATGGCCGCTCTGTCCTTTGTGAGTGTTCATTTGTTCTGTGTAGTCTGATGTGATAATAATAGAAGGCTCCTGATTTTGGGGTAGGTATAGACGTGAAACTGAGCTCATTCCTAAGTATGAAAAAGGAAATAAAAGTGTAAACAGTAAATACATTGCTGTAGATGATACACAAGGAGGGAGGAATTGCAATCATTTAAAAAAAAAAAACCTCAAATCTTTCTTTCATCGTAGATTTCTTCTGCTTTTACCATAGGAAACTGAGGCTCATAACCATTCCTGTATGTTTGGCACTGGTTTTGTTTTATTTTTCTCCTTTAGTGTTTTCCCCCACTAAGTTTCCTTTTTACTATCAAAAGTATAAATTACTTAAACAGTTGTAATGCCATGAGACTCTGTCTTGCATTTAAATCTCATTTTAAAACTTGGGCTCTGGGACTCAGATTTCTTAAGTGATTTATCTAAAGGCATTTTTTCATCTTAAACACGTCCCTTTCATTGTGAATCCTGGTCACCTTCTGCCAGTCCGATAGAAAGGATAGGAATGTTTTGGACTTTCTGTTGGGTCCTAACAGGGTCTGGTGATCTATGCAAGCACTTCAATGCCCTTTTCCCGTTATGCTTGTCAGAGGGAACGCTGCAGAGCCAGTGGCCAGCTGCCATTTCACAAGGTGAACACGAAGACTCTAAGAAGAGCTTTCAAATTACTCATGTCTGTCCCTGGAGCCATCTGGCCTAGATGGGTGGCTTTCTTTTACTCCTTTGGTTTTCTGAGATCAAGACTGTTTTGTAGTCCCTTGGCCTGGAACTCACTACACTGAGCAGCCTGTCCTTGGGCTTACAGTGTTTTCTCCAAGTGCCAGGACTGCAGCTGCGTATCTTCCTATTCTTCAGGCTGAACACAGTCATCTGACCTTCCTTCAGGACAATGGAGGATCAGATAAAGTCCCAGAGAATTGTCAACTGACCTAACATTTCCCTTTGTAAACCTGCAGACCTATATGAGACTTGATTAGCCAAGTAGGAGTGCATTTCCAAAGGAGATCTGGTTGCTGTCCAATTGCTCCTTTATAATCGAGAGGGGTATATACGGGTCACTTTGTTCGGCTCCTGCTCGTATTTGTGCCAGTGTTCTGTTTCGACCACTTTGGTGGAATTATTTTGATCGACTCTGCAATGAGCCCAGCAGGAAAGAACTTTTGCCAGCATCTTTAAAGGTTCATGTCTCGCTGCTGCTGCTGCTCTTTCTAATGGCATGAGGGTAGGGAGATTTCAGATCCTCTTCTAAACAGAATTAAGAACCAAGGAAGGCCTAAGTACCATTTGTGGTTTAGAAATCTGCTCGTGAAACTGAGGTATGCTATGGAAATTTCTATAAAGTTTATCACTGATATCATTTTATTAATCTGATCCCAGTGGAGAAAAAAGTTTATGAAGTCAGTAGAAAATTATCTTAATCGGTCAACATTTTCGTTCTCCACATGTTTGTGTGTGCAGTTTCTAGAATCTTCTCACTTACCTCTGTGCTACCTGGTCAGTCTTTCTTGTCCCTGGATTGTTCAAGATAAAGGTCCTGACTCCATACCACCAGATATAAACTCCCACTGTGCCTCAGGACAGCCTCAGCCTCCCACACCCTGGATTCATCAGGCCTGGGCCACCACACCCTGTTCCCACTCCTGATGTTTGTCGACTTATTTTATTGAAGCTGATTATATCTAGGCAAAATTTAAACCTGCAGACTGAGAGTCAAACTATTCTTATTCCCAGCAGTATTTGAACATATGAATAGAAGATTATGTAAAAGGAAATCTTAAAACTGAAGGGTATAATCTCAAATGACTGAGTCTTAGACATGATGCCACCCATGTCGGGCCCTTTAGGGCAGTGGTTCTCAACCTTCCTACTGCTGTGACCTTTTAAGGCCACCCCCGACCATAAAAATTATTTTCGTTGCTACTTCATAAATCTAATTTTGCTACTGTTATGAATCATAATGTAAATATCAGTGCTTTCTGATGGTCTCAGACAACCGTGATCAAAGAGTCATCTGACTCCCAAAGGGGTAGAGACCCACAGGTTGAGAACCACTGCTTTAGAAGCTAGCTGATGGGAATGTGGGAAATTGAAAGGAAGACCATGGGAAGACTATTTCACATCACCAGTGTTTACAACATCTGACTGATTCCTTCCCCTCAGAACGTAACTCCTTTAGACAGTGAAAAACTATTTTAAATCCAACTCACCCTTTTGTCGATTCACCGTGTCATCTTCATTTACTTCTGTTTCTGAATAAATGAATATCTTCCAGGACTCCTGAGAAATGTGCGTAAAATTTAATGTAGTATTGAATTCCACGTGGAGTCTTAGGACATGGCTTTCTGCTTGGTCTTGCCTTCTGTCTTCACTGGAAACGTAGCATATATCCTCCAGTCCCTCCAATCACATCTTCCCTTCCATTCTTTAATGTCTTCAGAGTCATGATACAATGAGTGACACCGTGAACTCCACCATGGTGTTCTCTACTTCCTCTTGCTGACAACTTCTTGACCACTGTGAGGGGCTCCACTCTGCAGAGGCTAATCGAATGGTCTCAATGTACAATGTTCATTGGGAGCAGCTAGCTGGATATAACTGGGAAACACTGACAGTGCCTCCCGTTCGTTTAGTTTTATCATCTCCAGAGGACGGGCATCTGTAGACATAGACTCGGGGACCTAGAAAACACTTAACATATCACTCCTTTTCTGATATGATGGCCTCCATTATGCTACTTCTCTTTTGAAAAAGTTTCCATCCAAATGGGATATCCTTTAGACAACATATAATGTTACTTATCTGCTGACTGTTGAATCAAAATTTTCAAGGTACTATGTGTGCACTGTCCCTCCTGCAAAGAAGTACTGTCATGTCTTCTTTGACCAGGGCACTCTTGGATGTTGTTGCTGGAGGTCAGTGTGTGTGTCTGTGTGTGTGTATGTGTGTTTGTGCACAAGCATGGGTGCGTGTGCATATTTAATGGCTACATTTATTATGAAAACACCCTGTCAATCTAGTGTCCTTGGAATTTCTGAATTCTGCTGAGTGCATACGGCAGACTCCCTCATGCCAAAGAAGGAAGGAAGGAAGGAAGGAAGGAAGGGAGGGAGGGAGGGAGGGAGGGAGGGAGGGAGGGAGGAAGGAAGGAAGGAAGGAAAGAAAGAAAGAAAGAAAGAAAGAAAGAAAGAAAGAAAGAAAGAAAGAAAGACAGAGGTAACAAAGCTGTGAAAAATACCAAAACTGGGTCAGAGTCTACTTCTCTCAGCATTCCTGCTGGGTTATTCTGTGAGACTGACTGTAAACCAGGTCCTCTCCTATGCTGATAGTTTTCCCATCAAGGCAGATAGGGACTCTCATGAATAGAGTACAGACTTCCAAGGCCACAGACTTGAGAGAAATTTTAATCTAGTTCTTACAATTGTACTATTGTCAGAGGTTTGCCAAGACAAAGACTGTACTGTACCGAGGATTCTAGTACTTCATTAGTTCTTTGTGACTGCATTTGCTGGGCTCTTTCTCCCACAAGACAATGATCTTCAATCGTAGTTTCTGTCCTGTAAGCATCTTACTGTGGGTAGCACTTCTGCAGTGTATATGATCCACCAGTGTCGTTCATGACAATCTCTCTCCAACAGTCTGGCGACTTATCAAGAGACTTGAGCAAAAGCTATAGAAGCCAGTGGCTGCCTTTCAGGACACTGTCTTGGGATCACATAACCCAAAGAGCATGGCTGGAAAACTTGAGATGGGCAGCAGCCTTTCCTTGCGTGCTTTTTCCTGTTCTCAAAGTCAACTGGTTTCCTAATTTGGAAGCAATTTAATATCTTGTGTGGGTGAGATTAAGCATTATATTTTTCTTGAACATCGTTTGGTTTTTAACGCCGTGTTCTCCACAAATGTAAGCCACGTACCGCATGCTTTTAAGTGACTGGATGATTTTGAGATTTAATTTATGCCTATTTGTATCTCCAAAAATTCACCAACTCAATATTTTGGCTGAGCAATCCAAATCAAATTGTGGTCTAAGTAACAGACCACTTCCATTGGATGTATGGAGCCTCAACAAGCAATTCGCAGTGAATATTTAAATGCCTTCATTACCCTGATGTGGTCAATGCAACAGGCATTTGGGAAGGTGGCAACCAGAGGGCACTTCTCTGAGTTCTGTTTCTGTGGGCTGGTCACCTGAATACTGGAAGACTTTCTCTAAGCCTCATACCACCGCTGTACCTCTACTGTCTGAATCAAAATGAATCAGGCTTTCCCAATACAGAACAGGTTGCTGATGGGAAATCACTACATGCATTTTGTGACTGGGAAAGGTTTCCTCCCAGGATCACAACCTGGCACCTTTAGGCCCAGAAAACCCAAATGCCAAGACTTTCTTGGGGTTTGAAAGAGTCAAGGTTCCTTTCAAAACCCTGCTGATTATTTTTCTTAATTGCCTTAGTGTGCTGTGTTGAACATGTAGAGGTGAATATACCAATACCCCATGTCTCCCAGAAGCCAATTTTATTATATATGGCCCAAGGGGAGAAATGTCTTTGAATAATTATAGGTTCAAGATTCTCATTTTAAATTTTCTTTTTAAAGGAAAAAACAACACTGGAGAGCCTGACTCAGCAGTTGGCAGTTAAACAGAACGAAGAAGGGAAATTTAGCCATGGAATGATGGATTTCAATATGAGTGGAGATTCTGATGGTTTGTGGCAATTACTCATTTTATACTCCAGGATGGAGTGGGAGGGTGGACTTGGAGCTGCTTAAAACAGCAAAAAGAACAGGCTGAAAGGTTACTGCCTACCTGACCATCCCAGTGGGGGCTCACATACACTGCACAGTTGCTGTGCGCTGTGCGCAGTTGCCGTGCGCTGTGAGTCATGCGCAGTCGCTGTATGCTGTGCGCTGTGCACTGCGCGCAGTCACCGTGCGCCAAACCCTGCTTCCTTGTTGCTCATCTTTCCACCCTATCGGGACCTGTCAGTGCCGCTGCAGACAAGAAGATTGACTCCAGTAGTTTGGAATCACTCCCCCCAGGATCAGGGGGCTGTAAGTGCCAGAGGCACGACTCTTAGATGATATAACTCTAAAGCAAGTATCCTTGTCTAGCATCCACCCTGCCTCTTACCCCCTTATTTCCTGACACCAAACTTTGTAGAACTAAGTATCTACCAGCTCATTTTGCAGTTTGCACTATCAGCTAAACACACAGTTCAGAGGACAGATCCTGGACATACTACGCTGTCTACACACTGACAGAAACCTTCTCTGACCCAACATCTAGACAGCACTCTAAGCACATAAGCCACATCCTGTCCTATACCTCAGCCTTGGGTCACTTCAGACAGCACAGATGGCAGCCAGGGTGACACCCAGTTCAGCTGATACAGCAAAGAGAGCATAAGAAGGAACTGTTGTTTTTGTTATACAGAACCCAAACGGGTCCTCCTTCCGGTACCAGGTAACATGTATTTTAGGACTTCAGTGGCCCAGCCTTGCTACAGGCTAAAAAAGACTCAGTCTCACTGAGATTCAAACAGGAAGGGGGGGGGTCCCTGTGACTCTTCAGCACTCACCCTTCTCTGGTCATCAAGGTTCTCACCAGCCAAAAGCAAGCCAAGTTCGAATATCTAACTCCACGATTCTGTCGCAATTGCACTTGTTCAATTGGAGACCCAGAGAAGCAAAATCTTGCAGCCATTGACTTCCCAGAATAAACCTGGCCTACGTACATACAAAGAGCCTATTTAGAGCCGACGGAGCCCCACACTGCTGCTCTCGTGGCTTATGTTGCTGTAAGGTGTAAGAACCGGAAACAGCAGATGTGCCACGATCATTCCCTAGTTACAAACACATTTCCGAAGGATGCTGTTGTGCGTTAGCACTGCTGTTTGTCAATCGAGAGGCAATTACTGGTCGTAACACATTCCATCAATTTTAAGTTATGCTCGCATGATTAAATACACTCTGGCAATAAAGCATCACGGCAAAGAAGCTTGTGCTGCCATTGTCTAATCTAGCGGTGCTTGTATGCAAAGTAGCTTCCCGTCTTCGTCGAGCAAGGAGCATGTACTAGATGATCAGGAACCATGCGCACTGCTAGAGAGATGCCGAGCCGTGACCCATGCTTCTCGAGAGATGCTATTCTGTCATTTTCAATTTGCCAATTGTGCAGAAGCAATATTGATTACTTACCGATTCTTCACACTAATTAAGGTATACAGATGAATAGGAGGAATTCGTTGATGATGGTACAGGTACTAGAAATCACCAGAATCTGTTTTATATTGGTTTTGTTGGTTTGATGATGACAACGGTGAAGTCTTAGCTGCAGAGTGCGGAGCTCCCCTTGTCCTCAATGTGTGAACTCAAGCACCTTTGTCCCTTGGCTTCGAGATACTCTACAGGAGTTGCCTTATGGAGTCAGAGAAGGAGGTGGGCAGCTTCCTGAGGCTCTGTGTGACTCACAGGGAGAAGAGGTCCCTTGTCACCAGTGGCCTTGATATCTGAAATACAACCATCAATTTGACTCTTTCTATAACCTAACACGATAGGAGGAAAGACATTCAGTGGAACATGTGTTTTGTTTTCTTTAATAACCAATGATAATATGCACATTGATTGGTTCTTTTCTTCCAACTACCCAGTGCCTTTTGTGGGCAAGGTAAGAAAGTCATTACACATACTGACACATGATTGAAAAGAAATACCAACCACATTAAAGGGAGGTATTTATGTTGTTTTGACTGAAATTCTGTCTAGCATGTTTTTACTAACGTGTCCTCAGAAACAAAAATGGGGTGGGGTCCAAACACTTAAAGTCCTCACAGTCTCTTTGCTTTCCAAACCATCCTGCCGTTCCCATGAGTGTTCCATACTTGTACTAGATTCTTTACATCTGTAATATTTCTGCAGTAATGCTACACTCAGAGACAAACACACCCCTCTCCCCATAGAATCCAAAAATAGTGTGTCCCAGCTTTCTCTGGACTCTTGAAAGTAAATGCTGAAACCATCCAGAGTCCTTCGAAAACCCAAGAAGAAATGAGAACTGGGTTAAAAATACAAACACATTTGCTGCCACAGGCTTATCACAGACACTTCACAAGCAAGCATCTGCCTTAGGAACTGCGAGTACCATTATCAGAAGTACTTTTTGTTTTCCGATATTTTAATAGCCTAAGAAAACAGTCATGGGGAGGAGCCCTGCCAAAGTCTCCACACTGACATGTGCTGCTGTTCCCTGTTTCTAGGAAGTGCTGGAGTCTCAGAGTCAAGAATTTACAGGGAATCCAGAGGACGTGGCAGCAACGAGCCCCACATAAAGCGTCCAATGAATGCCTTCATGGTGTGGGCAAAAGATGAACGGAGGAAAATCCTTCAGGCCTTCCCCGACATGCACAATTCCAACATCAGCAAGATACTGGGTAAGGAGGTTGCGGAGGACCGAGTGTGTGCCGGGAGACATGTTGTGTTGCAACATCTTCTGCTCTCAGATGATGGGTATGGAAGGCAGGCTGCGCTTGTCTTCTGCTAATATTCCAGAATAGTAGCACCATCGCTGAGGGCCCTGAGGACAAGAAAGCACCCCGTGGCCTTTAATTCTTCATTCCATCTGTGAACTGGACAGGCAGGTCTCATCCCTCCCTTGTTCTCCTTTGAAGCAGCATGAGAGTGTTGGAGTTATGTTTGGTAGGCATGGTGTGCTGGGGAAGGAGAAGGAGAGAACATAGGACCTAGACTAGCCATTTCTTTACTTTCAGTAACCCTGCAGACTACGGTGCTTTTGGTAAACCTTAGGAACATGGTGTAGTTCTGAGATGACTTGAAAAGCAGCTTTACCTACCGCTACAGCTCCCAGTGTACTGGTTTAAGGGCAGGGTCAGGCTGAGCTGAAGGGAGATGTAGGCTCCATTCTCCATTGGTTTTGTGACCTGGTCATTACCATGTTAGCATCATTATCCTCATCTTCATCTCCAACAAGCACAAAGCACTACGGCAGCACGACAAGTTTACGTTGTCCATTCTCTCACAATGAGAGTTCAGAGCGAAAGCACCTAGCCTCATTGGAAAAAATTAGGCCTTGAAAAATAAGTAGCACCATACGCCTAAACTTCCTAAGCTGTATTAAAATTGATGATGTTCTTGGAATTACACCTACATTATAAAGAAATATCTTTGAGGGTGCATTAAAGAACTGGCTGCCTACACATGGTAACTAAATGCACTCTTCTCCATTCATAACCCCATAGCCTCAACAAAGGCAGTGGATGCCACTCAGGTCACAAGGTGCTTGTAATCCGTTCAGATCATATAAAACACACACACACACACTTACACGCGCATGCTTTAATATTTTCTTCTAAAATGGTTTTCAGATGAATACATGCCTGGAATCAGAAAGAATAGGACAAGTGGCATTCCCTTGCAGAAGCAGAACTCTTACATTTGAAAAACAAATCTATACAAAGTATAGTCCTGGAAGGGATAGAGCTGGAACAAATTTCCCTAACGTGAATACCATCTCTGACTTACCCATCTTTTTAATTATTTCAACCTCTCTTCCTCACGAATTACTCAAATTTGATTTTTTGTGTTTGTTTTTTTTAAGACAGGGTCTCACTATGCAGCCCTGGCTGTCCTGGAACTAACTATAGACCAGACGGGGCCTCAAACTCATAGAGATCCACCTGCCTCTGCCTCCCAAATGCTAGGACCATGTCTAGCCAAATTGGAACATGCTACATGTGCTTCATTTGGAATCACTTGATAAAGCAAGCTTGGTGCTAAGCCCTTCTCACCAGCTCAAACTTGGTTCCACAAAGAAGAGCAGGCAGCACGGAGAGGTGGCTCAGTGGTTAAGGACGCTTGCTTCCCAAATTAGGTTTCCAGCCATCAAGATGGGAGGCTCACAATCACCTGCAACTGCAGGTCCAGAGTATCCAAGGCCCTCACATCACATCTAGGATCCATATCCATAGGCGACTACAATCATATGCGTATACACACTCACACACACACACACACACACACACACACACAGAATTGAAAACCTTGAAAAGTTATTTAGAAAACAATCATTTTTTTTCCATAGGGAATGTAGCAAAGACCCTTTATGGTATGGTAGTAAGTGGCAAGGAAAATCCTTTCTGTCATTAGGTGAACCTCACCATATGACCTCTGCTGTTACAGTCTGCATATAAGATGTCTCCAGCCCCAGCCCTTCCGATACAGTCGTATTAATTAGACACAGAACAATTTTAGTCACCCAAAAAATTAAACACTGAAGTTCTGGGGGCCTCAGTATTTAGTCGTAGCTTTAAATAAATATAAAATCTTCAAATAGCCACACGATGGTTCTGAGTGGCCTATTTCATAGAAAAGTACAAAGGAGGCTTGATGTTTTTCTCCTTACCGATTGTTTTGGATAACAGCCTCCGACAGCATGCTGCTAATTCATTCTGCTTAAAACAGGCGCTTGAGCTGGGTTGACATTTTATGTAGTCTCTGGGGATCCTAGTTGACATTTTAAAGGGCTTCTAAGCATTTTATAATACCCTAAAATCTGGTTCTAATAAGCCATTCTGCTGAAATTGTTAACATAAGGAATCACCTTTTACTGTTTGGCTCGAGATCAGGGACTGGGGGACATCTTTTTCTGATTAGATATACAGTAGTCAGAGTAAAATGTGCAAATTCATTACATGCCCCATAGAGATGACATCGCGGCTCGCTCCTCTCTTCTCTTGGAGCCTACTGCCAGACTCAGAAGGAATAGTCTGAAAAAAATTTTTTAAAAAGGCTCCTTGTTTTCTCTTACTTTGAGCATCAAATATTTTTCATTGCAACTGATAACTCTTTTGTTATCAGAAGGCATTCCCAGTAGTCTCTTCATTTGCCTTGCAAACAGCCCACCCTTTGAAAGCAGCAAGCCACTTCTGCACTGTACGTGGTTGCAGGCACAAACCAAACCAAGTAACTGTTTTCATCTTTTTTGTGGGGGCAGGGTGGACAGTGTCTTTGCTAGCATCCTCCCCTGACTGTATTTATGGGACCTGCAGTCCGCAGCCATGGTTTCTGGGAAGTCTCCGGTTGGCTCTCCCCACCCAGAGGAATTACTAAAGACCTAAACTGGATTTGCCTCCAAACCGAGACTGCATGGCCCGAAGTTCATCTCAGTTGGTACCTAAGCTATTCTAATTCATAATTATGAACATATAAATATGTAATTTGAGTAGTGGGAATGTACATGCCTGTAATTCCAGCCCTTGGGATATTTTAAAGCAGGAAGGCTGACTAACCTGAGCTACCTGGAGAGACCCTGTCTCTAAAAAACAATAAATAAATAAAATTGTCATTATTATGAGGCCCTATTGTTTAGACTATAGCTCAAGACTGGGTGCTCTTAGGGGAAATATAGTATCAAGAGGTGAAGTAGGGAGTTTTAATTCCCACCCTACCAACCCAGCATTATACACATGATAGAAATATTAAAATGGCCATCAATCCAAAGCAGGTTACCTCTAAGAAGAAGCGTTCCTTTCTTTAGAGACAAAATACTTTAGAAAAAAATTGGAAAAAAATCTTCAGTACTTCACAATCCAATTGAGTTTCCTTATTTCTATATTCTGTTTTAAGGTAGTAGGTTTTACTCTTCAGCCAGTGGTTCTCAACTTTCCTAATGCTATGATGCTTTAACAGTTCTTCATGTTGTGGTGATCCCCAATGATAAAATTATTTTATGGTTACTTCATAACTGTAATTTTGCTATTGTTATGAATTGTAATGTAAATATCTGACCCCTGTGGGGTCACAACCCACAGGTTGAGAACCACTGATCTAGAGTGCACTGTGAAACAGAGTTTGGGCTGTACTTACAATAATGTGGGCTGACCAAACTGACCATGCTGCTCAAACGGAAGTTTTAGAATGGAAAACAAGCCACTCTGCTATTTGAACTCTAACCTGAGTTTGTGTTTGGAATAAAACAAACCCCAAATCTGTCTGGATTGGGGGAAACCTGCCCGAAACACTTCTGACAGATTCACTGTCAGGCTTCCCCATCTGCTTCCTGATGTAGCATGTGCAAATCTGCACACACAGAAGGCGCCTCCTCATCCCTAGGGTAGACGGCTCAGCGACTACCTAACCTAGGGTAGGTGCTGCCTCCACCTGAGTTCAGGGTTACAGTTTCTTCTAAGCTCTTCTCTAGATGATGCCTGAAGGCAGGCACTGGGCATGTGCTTCACCGGTTCATCTCTTTCTGTTGCTATTAGAATGCTTGATGAGACAGTGTGACTTTTCAAGATACCTGGAATGATGGTCATCTTACTCTAAGAGTACAGGGCACTGAGTGGCAGGAAATGGGGGAAATGCTGCTCCTCTCTCTCCCTCTTGCCCACCCTCTCCCTGTAGAACTGCCATGTCTTATAGGAGCTTCCATCAGTGATCAGGTCCGCTCTTCACCACCTCAGCCCTCAGAGATGCTTACCTTAAGCACCCCACAGTTAGATTAGCTTTCCCTTCTTGGCCAACACATGCTGAGGATGGAACTTCAGGCTAAGGTTGGATACAAGGAGGGGGCTACCCACCATCTACAGCTCTAAGCAGCTCCTAGGGTTGAATTTCTACATTTGACGCTGGTGGAGTTGCTTTTTTTTTTTTTTTTCAGAGAAGCATGCCTCACCTGCAAAAAGTTCGTAAAGTCTGGCTTTGAGATTATAGCAACCCCACTACCGGCATTCTCACTACACATGGCCACAGACAGAATCAAGGCCTCCGACCCCATCTAAACTGGGAATTAACACACGCTATTTTTAGTGACACTTCGACCTTGTTTTGTCTCTGTAAATCCAAGTTAGGTTAAACACAAAACAGTAAAAAGGGAAAAAAAACAAGAGTCACTACCACTAGCACAGATTATCATGAGACATGTTTCCTCTTAAAGGGGATCGTTAAAATAAAAGTCTTGCTTGGTGCATATTTATTGTGGTACTTGTAGTGTCTGCTGGATTAGAGTAGGTATACATATGTACGTAACACACATTTATGTATGAGTCAGATCTGCACGAAGTTCGGTAGGTGATCTCTCATGCGTGTGAAAACTCAGTTCTCTCGCTTATGAGAACTGCTAGAATGTTGTCTCTCTAGCTCATGGGACAGTAGCAAGATGACAAAATGTCATTTTTAAAACTGTTGTAACTTAACTTGTGATCCTGGGGGACCCCAGGTGGAGGTAAGAGGACAACTTCCAGGAGGCCACCTCTCTATCCACCCTCTGAGTCAGTGCCTTTCCCAGTGACCTGTCACAAGACCCAAGGTGACCCAAGTTCTCAACACAGCTCTCACACGTGGCACCCCCCCAATCCTACGCATCCCCCATTTAGAAGGGTTCATTTTTAACTCCAACGTTTTCTACAGACGTGGTTTTCTGATATATGAACTCTTGTGATAAGCACTCTACCCTCACGTAGAAATACTCAAAAGACTAAGTAAGTCAGGCTCACAACACAGGACGAATCCATGTGGAGTGTTTAGCAATGTAACTGTGTCCGATGAAATCCTTGAGCTTCTCGGTGCATAATAAGCAAGTCTAGTTAAACTGTTCATTCAAGTCAAAAATAATACATTGCCCAGCGCTTGTGTCTTTGGGCGCATAATTTCCTTGCAGACACCTCTGTTCTTGTGAAATCTCGCCTTTCAAGTTGATCTTGCTAATCAGAAACATGTTTATATAGCTCTGGCTCTTGGCCAACATTTTCTTTCAACTTCTTTCTTGTTCTCCGTGGCATCTCCCTTTTTTTTTAGGATTCTTAGAAACACTGCAAATTGGCATTAGTAACCTCCTTGTCTCCACAGGATCTCGCTGGAAAGCTATGACCAACCTAGAAAAACAGCCATACTACGAGGAGCAGGCCCGCCTCAGCAAACAGCACCTGGAGAAGTACCCGGACTATAAGTACAAGCCTAGGCCGAAGCGCACCTGTCTGGTGGACGGAAAGAAACTGCGTATCGGGGAGTACAAGGCCATCATGCGGAACAGGAGGCAGGAAATGCGACAGTACTTCAACGTTGGGTATGGAAGCTTCCTTATTCAACTACGCTTCCTATGGCATGGTGCCATCTTCCTGCTGTCCACATGGGACGACCCCACACACACACACTTAGCTGTAAAGCAACCCTTTGAAAAGGAACCTACAGCCTTCTAAGATTATTTTGTACCCTGTTATGAAGCCTTAAAATACATACTATATAGGCAGGCGGATATCTATTTGTTTGTTTAGAGGAGGAGCCACTGTGAGCTGCCTGCTCACCCTATGGGTTTTACCCCAACTTCTCTGAAGCAGATCTAATTCAATAATAGACATCGTCTTTATGCTTGCAGTTAGAAACTTAAGAGGTATGACTGGATCTTCTTTTCCTGGCTGGTATTCATGACTTTCAATGTTTCACCGTGATAGATTTCACCACTGGCAGCTTTGTCGAGATAACACGACCTAACAGTGATTCCAAATGAATCACATGTTTCCCAGTACTGTGGAATTGCTGAGCCATCCCCCTCACCCAATACACACACACACACACACACACATACTGACACACACATCTTCTGGGTGTACATCTCATACAGTTGGAATTACATTTAGGACACAGCAGGCTCATGGACAGGAGAGTTCCATCTGAACTGAAAACCCTGCCCCAAGGATGCTCCCCTCTGCTTCCCACCGGGAGGCCACACACAGTGATGTTATGTGCTGCCTACAGTGACACCGTGGAGTTCTCAAGACACAGGGATAAAGTCACTCACGCCTGAAACACTGACACCCAGAGAACTTAGGAGAGCAAACACCTCTCTGAATATACTCAGAAGGACAGTGAATAATAAAAGTGGCCGTACCTGCCGCATCCCCCATTCCCTTAGAAGAGCCAGTGTGCTCTGCTCTGCGCAAGGTTCTGGGAAGCTGCCACTTCCGGAGTCTATAGTAAATCTCCAAAGGGCTGAGAGACGGAAGCCCACATGAATATCTGTGAACCCACCCTTATAGGACCAGCTAAATCAATCTCTAAAGTCCAGTGCAAACCCAAAAACGTGGAGTTCCCAGGCTAAAGGATTAAAGAGTCCATAGACTGGGACCATAGAAGCAGGCATAGGTGATTTCTGGAGTGGTTTGTCTATGAGGCTGGCCCTGACTCTGATCCCTCTAATGTCTAGCACCATTTCACATAGTAGGTGGATAACTTGATAGCTTTACCTTCTCATGTTTGGTTCTAAAGTTCTAAACAGTTTAGGGTTTTTTTTTCCCCATTATACTTGAACTATCTTTGGGCTCCGTTATGGGAAAGACATACACAAACTCCTCCTGGTCATAGTGAAGGCAATGTGAGCTGGGAGTTAGGGTCTTGGGTACATTTGCTTAATTATTCTCCACCACATTTTTCCCTAATAATAATAAAATGGGATTATCCTAATTATCAAATGGCAGTTCTAAATGTCCCCATATCTACGAAGCACAACGCGGGCAGGTAAGGCATTAGAATCAACACAGAATGTCACTTGAGCATGTTGGCTAATTGAGCGAATGCTAGTTTGAGTGAGGTAGCACTGAGGCAGTAAAGCCGAGACCTCCCGTGCACACTCTCATCATCTCTTTCTGTGACAGGCAACAAGCACAGATCCCCATCGCTACAGCTGGTGTCGTGTACCCCGGGGCCATCGCCATGGCAGGAATGCCATCCCCTCACCTGCCCTCGGAGCACTCGAGCGTGTCCAGCAGCCCAGAGCCCGGGATGCCGGTGATTCAGAGCACTTACGGCGTGAAGGGGGAGGAGCCTCACATCAAGGAGGAGATCCAGGCTGAGGACATCAACGGAGAGATTTACGAGGAGTACGATGAGGAGGAGGAGGACCCGGATGTGGATTATGGGAGTGACAGCGAAAACCACATTGCAGGACAAGCCAACTGATAAGGACCAACAGACTGTGGTGAGCCGAGGACTTGAAGAAGCCCTGGCCGGTTCATCCTTACCAGTGGCCAAGCACATTAAGTCTCTCATACACTGACTGTTATTTTAACTGTTAGTCTTAAATAGTTGGGACATCAGCTGACAAATAGACCTCAGCCTCAAAAGGCTCGGAAAGGAAAAGAAAGAAAAAAAATTACAAGCAAACATCATCAACAACAAGAGATTGAAATAAGCTATGGGTAAACAATGCCAGTAACTCAGCTGCTACACCCCAGCACTGAAGTCTCACCCGTCAACTTTTTTTTTTTTTTAATAAACTTTATGGCTGTTTGTTCTATATTAGAAATCCTCACTCAGGTACACAGTGCCAACAAGTGGCTTGTGAATGTGTTATATTGTTCTGTGCTACAATTTTTAAAAAGAAATAAGTTTTGTTCTGTTCTGTTTGGGGGTGGGGGAGTGGTTCTGGGTTTTTCTCTCTCTTTTTTTTTTTTAATTTTCCTTTTCTTTTTGATTGTTATCTTGCACCTGACAGACAGGGGGAAGACGGCAGTCAATTCCCTCCACTGTCTCTATCTCTCTGCTTTAAAGATGGAGGCCTATGTGTGAGGGTCTGGGGGGAAGGGAGGAAAACAAGAGCCTGTGTTTGCCTTCATTGCTTAGACACCACAGAGTCAGCAACCGTTTTCCTTAGAGACCCCTAACCCTTGCACACGACACTACATCTTTGAGCAAGTGCCAAATTCCTACCGAATCGATTACCAACTTCATGTGCTTGCCCTTCCTTTCTCCTGGTTCCTTCTTCCGTTAGGACAGTGTTAAACCTTAGACAGTCCCTGGAAAGAGCTGACACACCAGCAACTGGTGAGACTGGTTTTTGTTTTTTGTTTTGTTTTGTTTTTCTTTTTCCTTTATGGAAACTGTAGGTGCCGTTCTCAGGTGAAAAGAGAGAGAGACAGAAATTTAGAGAAAAAAAATATTTTCTGATCTTGGATTTCTCTGTGTGTGTGTGTGTGTGTGTGTGTGTGTGTGTGTGTGATTATGGTACATTAGATACATTCCTATTAGGGAATAATGTCAGGCCATTGTAAGCAACACCCCTCACATGGGAATAGAATTCCACCCCTCCTGAGCAAGTGGACTTAGAAGCAACCTCAACCTTGACTTTGCACTTCCGGGGACAATGGAGCTAAGTATAGAACTCAGAAATTCTATTTTTCAGTTTCTAGTATACTCATTATCGGGTGGACCTGGTGGCCCTGCGTCACGGGCATGTGCATGGCAGACTTGGAAGTTACCAGCCAAATGCTTCTGAAGGCTCCTCCTCCCTGGCTAATTTGCTTTTTCTAATGTTTGCTACTTAATGATCTGTGTGGATGTGTGTGCGTGTTTGTTTTACCTGTTGAAACTTTGAGCAAAGCAATCATGGTTTTGACTGAACCTATTTGCCATTTTTCAGAAATACAGAATTAGCTTATGTCTCCAATGTTCCATCCTCTCCTGCCGAGGGAAACAGAACTGATTGGTTTTATAAGATTTTCTTTTCATCTCTCCATGCAATGAGGTTAGAGACTGTTTGCATTTCACAAGTGTGGGCCATGTGTAGTCGATACCCCAAAAACCAGGATTTGGTTAAACTTCACTGCAGCACCACAAAATGGAGCCTGGATGCATACAGAGACCCCTTCCCAGTGTAATGGTCCTTCACTGTAATTTGAGCCCGCTAAAGATCAATTGGTGCAACACAGTGCAGGCTCAGAGCAATAACCAAGGATGACCGGACCGATGATTCGAATCGCCAACCAAAAGGCCAAGACAGTGGTAGACAGACAATTACAGTGTCACTGCAGGTCACTCCCGACTGTTCTGTTTGTGTTTAAACAGAGAGAGTAAGCATCGCAGCCAGGGGCTTAGATGTGTTCCAGTCCTTTCTCATCTTGCCAAGTACCACCAGTTTGATTTCCATACGTAAATGAGTAAGAGAGGAAGAGGAGGAGGAAAAGAAAACTCCTTCCTGTTTTTTTCTCTCTCAGAAAGTCTTTCCTTGGAGTTTTCCTTGGAGGAGCTCCTCAGACCTGCATGTCAGAGGTTTTCCGTTCATGGGATTTTTTGTTTGTTTGTTTGTTTTTGTTTTCTTCTTATGACTGTATTTTCATTTGAATTGCCTCTTTTTTGCTAGTGTAAAATTATGATTAAATAATAATAATAATAGTAATAATAATAACAGTCAGCTGTTCCCAGATTAGTAAATTATGTATAATTTATTTTTATTTCTCCCTATTTTATTCTGCTTTGGATTTGGAAGCTGTTAGGTATTTAAAACTAATTTCTATTTCTAGCTCACACACACACAGACACACACACACACACACAGCTGTATGTGTGTATATTCACACATAAACACACATGTCTGTATGTGTGTGTACACACAAACACTTGCTTCTCCACCCGTAACTTCCTCTGTGTTAACAGTTTTGGCCCCGGCAGCATCAGTTCTGGTATTTAATATGAAGGGGGAGTTAGTAGGAATGTCATGTTCAATCTTAATTAACTTATGCTCTTTCCTTTCATCTTAGTTATTTAATTACCAATTATCTAGAGCCAATTTTTTTTGTTTTTGTTTGTTTTGTTTCAAAGCACTCTGAATAAGAAAAAAAAATAGACACTTGTTTTTATACCATTATAACGTACAATGTGAAAACAGATTTATTAAAAAGAAAAAATGTTTCTCTGTGTCTTAACAAATTTCTCCTGACTGATGTGGGTTCTCCACTCTCATGTGCTGGGTCCCTGTCTCACAGCGTATTTGAGACAAGGTTGGTTTTCATTTCCTGACCTTGGGCATCAAGAATACTTTGTTTTTGTTCCAGGTAAGATGCTGCTGACAGCATCCAAGGCCAAAACCCGTCCCAACGCAGCCGTGAATCAGAGCAAACTCTCTCTTTGGTTTGCTTTTGGTTTATTTGAAGGGAAAATGAAGCTGTTCACAGTGACCTGTAGCTGCCAGAACACTCCAGTTTAGTTGAGCTTATGTTTTTAACTGAACTGTCCCTAGACAAAACCACAAAGCAAGCCCGTAATGACATGCCATTCTCTCTCTGGACATTCTCTTCAGCAGATGTTGGTTTTGCTTTGCCCAAGAGTTTTCCCTAGGGGACAACAGAAGCAAAGATAATTCTACCTATGGCTAAAGTACACATAAGTCACTTGGGTGAAGGTGCTTTGAATAGCAACTTAACTATAACAACAGAAAGCATTTGGTCCATTGGCTGGGTGATGATTTTTCTAAAGGATCATATAAGCTTTACACTCTTTCTACGGCACACAAAGGCCAAGTAAGATATGGAAAGATGAAAGGTAGCAAATAGCACCCCTTCCTCCTTCCCTCTCCCCGACTTAAGGGTTTATTTAAGCCACACCCATCTATCTTTCTGCCCCTTTCCCTCATCTTCCCTTTCACACACGTTTATACCAAAACTGAAGAGTAATATTGCCAATTTCTTTTTTATATTTGTTATTGGAACCTCTAAAACCCGTCACATTTGATATAAATCAAGAAAAATATTCAGTGAGGAAAATGGGTCAAAGTTCTTTGTACGTCAGTGATAATTTGGCTAGTTATTACAAACAGAATATCACACACCCTTTTGTGTAATTTTACTCAGATTAGTCAAGTGAACTCTGAAAGTTCATTTGTTTCTAGCTAAGAATTACCTTTGTTTAAAACCCCTCCCAGGGAACATACGTACCATGGTTGGAACCAAATCTTCCCATAGGGGATGAATGTCAGAGTGTCAAGTGCTCTATAATGAAGCCACTTCATACATTTGATTTCTAAAGTACAATCTACCTTAGTTTGCTTGAAGGAAATTATCTTTACCATTTTGTGGCGTGTTTTCAGATATTTCAGTAATGCAGAAGCTGACAGTATCCTCGGAGGAATCCTCTTCTGTCTCACTTAAAAACCTAAGGAGTAACTCTACGGTCCTTACTCTAAAGGGTAAATTATTGAATTGTAATAACTGTATATTTACAAACAGGTTTATAAAAATATTTGTCTATCAAATTAATAGTGAAATAAAACTTTTATGAGGTTTGCAAGGAAGAAATACGAAAGCTACTTAAAGTGGCTGATTTATCTCATTGCCTCTTAGGGCATAGACATTTCTTTAGCCAGGTTGACACAGTATTTAATTTTGCTGTCCCCCAGGTTGAAGGTGACATGCTGAGTTTCCTAGGGTCCCTGTCCTCCCCCAATGTCTGTCACTGGTCCACTGAAGGCAGTGTTTATTCAGTCCCCCTGGCTCTAAAGCACTTAGTCCTCTTAACAGTTTGGATTTCACAAGTGAAAAAGTTTTGTTTGTTTTGTTTTGTTTTTTAATGATTTTTAAAAAAATAGAAAAGAGACAATCAATGCCTGGAGCTTAAAACAAAGTCTGTGCAAACTACCATCTCACTTGAAATTTAATAAAATAAGAAATTGTGTAAATATAACATAGAGTTATAGATTTCTATTTTGTTCATAACATAGTGTAATATAAGTTGTATATTTTCATGTTTTTGGGTTTTATGTTATCATTCATGCCACAATAAGAATAAAACAGGAGTTTGTGCACTCTTGGGAAAAAGAAAAAGAAAAAAAAATAAGATGTGGGTCCCCGCCAGCCTGTTCTTTGCTTTTCTGTTCTTGTTTTCAGTTTGTTTTGTTTGTTTGGCCTTCCCCCTTTCAGTATTACTGCCGTGCAAGGCACCAATAAAACAGCAAATGTGTTCTTTATCTATTATACCGTGTTGCTCCGTGCAATTTGTTTATCAAAGGGTAACTTTGTTTATGACAAGACAAAGAGGCATTCAGAGGACTTGTCTCCTCATCATCATGACATTAAAAACAATGAGAAACGTAGACAGTCCTAAAACAGGAATCTACCACCAAGTCCCCTGTGTGGTTGCATCTGAGATGACAGATTTTTTGTTTTTATTTTTTTGAGACAGGTTTTCTCTGTGTAGCCCTGGTTGTCCTGGAACTCACTCTGTAGACCAGGCTGGCCTTGAACTTAGAAATCCGCCTGCTTCTGTCTCCCAAGTGCTGGGATTAAAGGCGTGTGCCACCACTACCCGACTGAGATGACAGTTTTGATATCGTCTAGAACACTTCAGTGGATAACGGCTGTGATTCTTACACCCCATCGGCGGCATGTATCTCACTGTGTGGGTGGAAATGTCCCTATGTCAGCTCACAAAACACTGAGAAGCACAAACCGTTTTCCCTCCATGAGCTGCTGTTTGAACACATCTTTCCCTCTAGAGTCTATTCTCAGTTTTTGAAGCTGTTGCTAAAAACAAGTCTTTTCCTTTGTTCCAAAGGCCATTTCTGCTTCCAACGTCGTGAATTTCCTGCTCCGTTTGTCACACTTTACTCCTAGGGTAGCGCTATTGGTTCATTTGGGGGTTTTT